TAACAGGAGTGAAGAAAGTACCTATTTTAGGTATATACTTTAAATTTTCTGCGTTTCTGATGTCCTTTTCCTTTTTTAATTTTTGCTTCGCGCTCCCGCTTAGCTTCTCCATCGTGTCTGATTTTTTTTTTTTCGGTTGTAGCAACTAGCAACGCCTGACGTCACGTAACACGCTCGGGAGCGGGAGATTACAGTAACAGTATTTTGCTCGTGCCCTTGCTGTCCGGGCCCTTTAGATGGGCCGCCCATGACGGCCCTCCGTGGGCCCTGGGCCCAGACAGCAAGGCCCTTTAGATGGGCCGCCCACGGAGGGCCCCTGGGCATTTGCCCAGTTGCCCGTATGGTTAATCCGGGCTTGAGAAGGGTCAAAGTCGCCTCTTCCTTCTGAGGAGGCTGAGGTCCTTCGGAGTGAGCAGGCCTCTGCTCAGGACTTTTTATGACTCTGTGGTAGCTTCTGCCATTTACTACGCTGCCGTGTGTTGGGCCCCGGGCAGCACAGAGCGGGACAGAAACAGACTGAACAAGCTGGTCAGGAGGGCCAGCTCCACTCTGGGCTGCTCCCTGGACTCTGTGGAGGAGGTGAGGGACAGGAGGGTGCTAGTCAAAGCCACCTCCATCATGAACAACACCTCCCACTTACTGCACAGGACTGTAGAGGAGCTGAGGAGCTCCTTCAGTGGAAGACTGAGACACCCTCAGTGTAGGAAGGAGCGCTACCGCAGGGCCTTTATCCCCACCGCTGTCAAATTGTACAATAAGTCACTTTAAATGATCAGTGTGAAAACCTGCACTACTATTGACACTGTTTCCAATTGACACTTGTCACTTTTGTTGTACATAATTATTGTCACTTTTATTGTACATATATATCCTGCATGTAACATGTTTGCACATTTCCTCCTTTTGCAGAATTTGAGTGTCTCTATCCATGCCAAATGTGACATGTACATTTCTCTTATGTGAGATAAATAAAGCACATCTTATCTTATCTTCTCACTGAACTTTCGGGATCTCAACAACTAATCGATTATCAAAAGAATCATTCAGTCCAGCCTTAACTGTTAATTAGATTAGATTTATTAGATTTATTAAGGGAAAACCCCTTGAGATGCAGCATCTCATTTTCGAGAGGGTCCCATGAACATAAAACAAACAAACACAATACATATAATACAGTACATACAAACAATTAACATTTATACATTTAACACACACAGGTTTGCTCTCTCAGATCCAACTCCACCTCCTACAATAAGAACACATTCAAAAAACATATACATCATTACTGTATACCAGGGGTGTCATTCATACGGCCCGCGGGCCGGAACCGGCCCGCCAAGAGATTTGACACGGCCCGTGGCTCATTTATGTAAAAATATAATAAAGTTACATTTTAAAAAGCCGCTCCGCGCCGCGACGCCGCAGCGCCGCGCTCAGGGGTGAGTCCAGAGCGTCTGTAGTGGCTCCACCAGAGCGGTGCTGAAGGAATAACATCTTAAACTACAAGACTCGGCGAAAAATACGGCACTTTGAGCGAAGAATTGAGAAAACAGAAGATAAACCTGTCTGGCCCTGAAGACACAGCAGTCTGTTTGTGCCCAGAGCGAGAGGTTAGTTCTGCTGCTGTAAAGGGAAGCTACCTGTGCTAACAACATTAGCATTAGCATCGCAGCCGCACAGTGAGAGAGAGTTTGTTAAATCTCTCACAGGCTGCAGACATGGTCTGAGAAACCACTCGCTTTTACCAACATGTTGCCATTGATAAGAGACTGATGTTACTGATGTCACATATTCATTTGTGGTGTTACTGAAACTATCAGAGGAGTTTTGAGCGCTGCTGCTGGTACTGCTGCTGGTTCTGCTGTTGTTGCTGGTGTGTTGGACAGTGTGGACGGGTACCGATGGTAAAAACAGGTGTAGTTACAAAGCTGCAAATGGAGGTGATGATTTTTGGACATTTGACTGTATTTTACACAGAGACACTGCTGCAGTCGTTAAGAATGAATCACGTTATGGAAGTTGTTTTATTCATTTCAACTGAATCATGGTCAGTTTGATGCTTTCTCTGTGATAATAACATAACCATGGACCTTACACACTGAAGATGGTTAATGTGATAATAACATAACCATGGACCTTACCACACTGAAGATGGTTAATGTGATAATAACATAACCATGGACTTTACCACACTGAAGATGGTTAATGTGATAATAACATAACCATGGACCTTACACACTGAAGATGGTTAATGTGATAATAACATAACCATGGACCTTACACACTGAAGATGGTTAATGTGATAATAACATAACCATGGACCTTACCACACTGAAGATGGTTAATGTGATAATAACATAACCATGGACTTTACCACACTGAAGATGGTTAATGTGATAATAACATAACAATGGACCTTACACACTGAAGATGGTTAATGTGATAATAACATAACCATGGACCTTACACACTGAAGATGGTTAATGTGATAATAACATAACCATGGACCTTACACACTGAAGATGGTTAATGTGATAATAACATAACCATGGACTTTACCACACTGAAGATGGTTAATGTGTGATAATAACATAACCATGGACCTTACACACTGAAGATGGTTAATGTGATAATAACATAACCATGGACCTTACACACTGAAGATGGTTAATGTGATAATAACATAACCATGGACCTTACACACTGAAGATGGTTAATGTGATAATAACATAACCATGGACTTTACCACACTGAAGATGGTTAATGTGATAATAACATAACCATGGACCTTACACACTGAAGATGGTTAATGTGATAATAACATAACCATGGACCTTACACACTGAAGATGGTTAATGTGATAATAACATAACCATGGACCTTACACACTGAAGATGGTTAATGTGATAATAACATAACCATGGACTTTACCACACTGAAGATGGTTAATGTGATAATAACATAACCATGGACCTTACACACTGAAGATGGTTAATGTGATAATAACATAACCATGGACCTTACACACTGAAGATGGTTAATGTGATAATAACATAACCATGGACTTTACCACACTGAAGATGGTTAATGTGATAATAACATAACCATGGACCTTACACACTGAAGATGGTTAATGTGATAATAACATAACCATGGACTTTACCACACTGAAGATGGTTAATGTGATAATAACATAACCATGGACTTTACCACACTGAAGATGGTTAATGTGATAATAACATAACCATGGACCTTACCACACTGAAGATGGTTAATGTGATAATAACATAACCATGGACCTTACACAATGAAGATGGTTAATGTGATAATAACATAACCATGGACCTTACCACACTGAAGATGGTTAAGCTGAGGTGCTGTGTTAAAGTGCTTTTTTCTATCTACCTACTTTACCTTTGTGAGCAGGTTTTCTCTGTAATGAGCCTTAAAACAAAGCTAACACACAAATATTAATATACATATTGTGAAATACCATTTTCAATGTAATATTGTAAATACGCTACATTATTTGCACTATGGAAAACTCACTGTTACATTTAAGTTTGTAACAGAAAACTGAGTATTAAAGAATAGTGTTTTAAAGGAAGTTTTAAATAAATGTGTTTATGTGCACAAAAAGTTGGACTTTGTACCGTTTTTGGATATTTTTGTAGAGCATCTCCTGGTCCGGCCCACTTGAGATCAGATTAGGTTGTATGTGGCCCCCGGACCAAAATGAGTTTGACACCCCTGCTGTATACAATATAGCCAAATACAGGCCATACATACTGCGGGTGATAGAATAATACAACTTAAAATATACATCCAGATATTACAAAAATATAATATTTATATATATATATATATATATATATATATATATATATATATATATAATAAAATAAAAAAATATACATAATATTATAACTTAATTATAAGTTAATGCTTTTGCAACAAAACATACTGTACCTATACTGCTTTCATAAACACCTCAGACACAGATCAACAGCAGTAGCAGTAATGTGAAGATATTTCTTTTACTTTTTGACTTTGTGATCTCAACATATGTATGGGTTTTGCTGCTTTACCGCAGAGGCTGTTTAATAGGGATGGACAATGCTAACCTTCTGGCTCAGGTTTGCTCAGGTTAGCTCAGGTTACTTGTGATCACATTTTAAGTAATCTTTATTTATGTTTTTAGTGGTAAGGGAAACCAGAGCACTCAGAGAAAACTTACGCAGACATGGAGAGAACATGTAAACTCCCCACAAAAAGGCCTGGAGGTAGATTTCAACCTAGGAACTGAGATTTCCTCAGTTGAAATCTACCTCACAAGCGCTAACCACTGCACCACCATGGACCAACTCTGGCTGCCATCACTTATTGACTATTTATAGTCTTTAACTGTTTGTATCACACTCACCATTTGGGGCTTAGTCATGATTTGCCAGTCTGTGACCTCTCTGGTGTTTATATTTTGTAAATCCAGATTATGTCTCCTAACAACTGATCAATGAGGTGTCTTCAGTCCTTGAATTTGGCTTTGGATATAGCGATAATATTTTATATGATACCTCTTCAAAGTCAGCAAGAAAATATCTATACATATTTATATTAAGTCACGTCACACAATTTAAAGCCACACGTGTGTTGATGTCAAATTAGAGAGATTTTATTTACTTCAAACATCTCAGTTTAACTCAAATACATCAGCATCTCATATGCTGCACATGTTGACAAGGCATATCACAGACACTTGTCTAAAAAATAGCTGAATAGTTAAAGAATTAGAAATTGCATAAATTAGTTATATTTTACATCCAGTCGTGTGCACAATGTAATCACTGCCACATGACAACCCAAGTCATCTTTGGCATGCCTATAGAGTATAATGGAATGCATAACAGCAACAAGTAACCAAATGTATGTACTGTGACCATGGTTATTTGATATGTGTTAATTCAACACCAAATGTCTTCTCACTACTGTTCAGATTTAAATTAACCCCCATTGCTTATCGGGCTAACCAAAGAATCCACCCCTTCTTGTGGATCTATCCCCAGACTCTGGAGGTCCAGGCCCATTGCTGCTAACAGCTGCAGCAGCGTGAGCTCCTGCTGGGTCGCCTGGTCCACCAAGACAGGGCAGGTGGGGTTGCACTGGGGCCACTGGCAGGTGTCCACTAAGTGGAACGGGCAACCTCTGGCAGGGGTCCTATTGTTTCGTGCTGCCTCCAGATTCTTGTCCCAACATTGCAAGGCCCGTGGCAGAGAAGTGCCTTTAACTTGGAAAGTCAACCAGTTACTAAAATAAGCAACAACAAAAAAGGCATAAAGTAAACAACTATCAAACATAGAAGGGCAAAATACAAAAACTCAACTAAACACTCATTGAAGTGCTTCATACAAAATATAAGTAACTTTTGGTTACTTACCTTTTGGTAAGCATTGTATGTGAAAGGCAGGACGGGGAAAACACAGCCCTGAAATAGAAATATAGTAGCCACATAACTAAAATGTTTATTATATGCCTTATTTTTCATCATGTCATTATCTACATACGTAACATCACTGAGAGATGTTTTCAGCTCCCGTCCCAGGTTTTGTATGTACTGCCATTGCTCCTGAGTCATCCGCTGGCTCCCCATATAAATGTTCTCCACTCTCAGCTGCTCTTCGTCAAAAAGCCACTGCACCACAAACAGTGGAGCTACATAAACAATAAAGGTGCATTTATTAAAGGACAGTTTTGGTCATAAACAGTGCATTTATATTAATTAAAGCATGAATGTACATGTCATTGTAGAGTATAGTTTATGGCCAAAGAAGCACTGCCATTCTTCTCCTTTTTTATAAAGCTGCCGGCATCTATTTGGGACAATTCCATTCCACAATCTATGAATGTACAAAGTTTACTGTCATCAATATTCATTCAATACAATCATAATAATAAAATGAAACACAGTAAAATTGCTCACTTGAGTCCCATCTTTATGGCATCTTCAGGGGAGCATGAAATGGTTTCAGGACAGTTTGGAGATCTTTGCTGTTTACTTTCAAGAAACCAGCCTGAATCCACCAAGCCGCGGACCTGTGCCTCTGCCCCCAGCTGCTCCAGCTGACCAGCCACTCGATCAATGTTCAGTAAGACTCCAGTACCTCCAGCACTGTGGGTGGACAGATGAAATAACAATAGAATGACTTTTAAATTAGGTCTATACACTACTGCTTCATGTTGACAGTTTTACTGGTACAGAGCTTTTATGTTGCATCTTTAGGGATTAAAAGGGTAAAGGGTACTGCAAAGATCTTAACTTGAGCCTGAATTCAAAATGACATAGTTTCAGTTCATGACTAAATAAAGGACACCTTCAAGTATCTGTTGTTGACAGCTGAGACTAAAGAGCTCACCTTGCACCGGTCAGCATAACAACCTTGGCCTGCTTTATTCCTTTAGGAATCAAGTCTTTGATGACCTCACGGATGATCAAGGATCCCATGAAGGTGTATTCAGCTGAGAAAAATACAGTGAGCTGAATGTATATTGATCAGGTAATTTGTCTTATTAGTACGGATAGATACATTTGGAATGTGATCACTGTACTGGAATGAAAAACATACTTGTATTTGCATTGTGGTCTTTATCTCTGCCTCTTGGTCTAGAAGGTGGGCTTGGTGCAGATCCTGTCCCACTCCACACATCACTCGAACAATATGGGATAAATCTTTGGTGACCAGAATATTTATGTAAAAAACAATAACTGGGGATAGTGTGGATAAAACAATACATACACAATGTTAGCATTATGCCAATGTGGATTTTCTTCAGCCTGAAAAGACAATATGCCACTCCCTGAAAATGCATGAACATAATCAGCTCACATAGTAAATGTGCACCGTTAAAATGTATAAACAAATGCCAACCTGTCTTTGTTTGGGACCACCCTGATGAGCTCATCAGCCGTGGGATATTTTGGTACCTGAAATCACAGGTCTCTTTGCTGTAGCAGCACCAGCCTCCTAAAAATATAAGCACTAAAATTAGGGTGTCATATCCGGCACACAGGGCTCTTTTAGTAATCCATGTTTAGTCCATTACACAGGCCTGGAGTATGGTGAGGATGCACCTGCAGCTAATGCCCATGGCCACATGAAAAGCCTCTCACAGAAAAGTTCAGAGGATATGTCATCATAACACGTGTTACTCTCTGGTTAATATCAAAACATATATGAAATCATGATACATTTTAAGTGCAAACAACCAATAACCAAAGTGACATGCAGCAACCATAAAAGGATAAGATGACATCCCATTAAAATTCCAGTGGGGGCCTCATGCCAAAACAAGTTGACCTCTGGGACCAAATTAACCAGTTGAGTTTTTGAATCCTTACCTTCCAGAAATAACAGCCATCGGCGGCTCCCTCTTACCTCTCTAAGGTAAAACCTGTGGCGTCACAGATAATCAGGAATAAGAAAAAAGAATATGAACAAAAATACAACAGGTAATGTACAAGAGGGACGAGGGAGCCTCACCCTGCGGCTGTTCCATCGTTGCATGTGACTTGTGTGTTTTTAAGGAAGTGTAGTCTCATCTCCTCTGGCTGTTGTCCAGGTGTCCTGGTGCTGCCAGCACCAGCAGGAGCAACTGAAGCTCCTCTGTTCCCACCACCTCGATTTCTGCTGGAGCCTGTCACAGCTGCACCACCTTCTGCAGAGGACTGGTTCACATCTGCTGCTTGCGTTCCATCAGACTTTTTGGTAGACTTGCCACCAGTCTTGACATTGTTCTGGCGGTTGTTCTGGCAAACAATCGGCCCAAGTAAAAAAAGAAAAGCTACAAGGCCAAGTATCTTCATATCTGAGAAAATGAGCATGTTGATTACTTTGAAAAGCGATTCAAGTCTTGCTGTCCTGGTGTTTAGACAGATTAAATGGTAACACATCAATTCCTGTCTTGTCTCTGCATGACTTACCCTGGGTTGAGCAGTGGTGCTGGTGGGACAGAGGCAGTGCTCAGGTGCAGAGTGGTGATGATCAAAGAGCGTTGCTTGGGTTTTGTTGACGACTCAAAACCCTGGTCAGCTTTATAGTGCCACCATATGGATCAGATTTCTTGCTGTTTTGTGGTGGAGCTACTGCCAGCATCTTAGGTAAGCAGCTGACGACACACGGTGAGGGGAGGTCTTGATGCTCGGTGAGGAAAGCATAACACACATTTCTGCATACCTAATATCTTGTGCCCACACTCAGCACGAACACTTTCTCATTGGAGCTTGAGCGCTGCAGTGTCCACCTCTGATGGTCAGTGGTTTGACAAACCTCTACATGAGTGGCATAACTGCATAGACTTCTGTGTGGTATGTGACCCCAGGGTCAATAGAGCACACACCTCAAACAGGGTTTGACATAGGAATTAAGAGGCGCGCTGCTGAAGTGGTCAACACACTGAGCAGGTGTATGACATCATGCCTGTGGTATCAGACCATGGTGCAACATCACTCCTTTCAGGCTCTCTGAAAACTCTGGAGACAGGGAAGGAATTGTTTTTGTCAAATAAAGTAAGCTAATCATGCATTAAAGTAGAATGTAAGTATTATTGGCTACAACACATACTGATGCCTCCATCTCAACTTTTCACCCACTGTGACAGAAAAGCACAGTTTGTTTTTATGAATCTGACACTGATCCTCTGGGATGGCTGTAGGGTGACGCACCGCTGATCTCTGGAAGATCACAAGCTCTAGGACTGTAAAATCCTCATCAATGCAATGCACACCATCCCAACTTGTCAATCATAACAATTAATGATCTCTTGGAAATCGCAGCTTGTGGGCCTGTATGGGGGTACATGAGGCTGTGGACCACAGGGACCCCAACATTGTTCTTGCCACATAACTTTCTAATATTAGATTTACATGATAATTGGTCATTGTACTTTCTCCTTATCGGTCTTACAATTTGATACATATATGCATACTCCATTTTACTTCAATCCTATAACTATGTTAAGAATTATTTTGTCAGAAAGAAACAGTCTTCCTGTGCCCCCGCATGTAACCCTGGTGAGTTGGATCTACTGAACATTTCTTCATTCCTTAAGTTGTCTTGAAGCATGCGCTGCACCATCTGTCTTCCCAGAAATCAGGGCTACAGTCTGGTGTACAGACATCTCGAGTCACTTTACGTCACTTTACTTCACTGTACTGCTGTCACCTTACATTGTGTGCACCATGTGCACTTGTATATTGTAAATAGTAACTGTAACTCTATTTTAAATTTAAATTTATTCTTTAGAAGTGTTTTTTATTATTATTTTTATTATCTCTTTTTGACTGTTGCACTGAGCCAAAGCAATTTCCAAGTCTGTGACCTCCCGTTACTTACGTTGGCAATAAAAATGATTCTGATTCTGATTCTGATTCTGATCTCAAATATCTGAAAATCAAACGATATTGCGGTATATCTTAATTTTAGATAGTAGACAATTCTATCATGAGTATATATTATACTATTATTGAAATTACTACATTATTTTGTGATTAAAGATAGATTTTCCTCTGATTTCATTATGATTCTTAAGAAACAAGAACCACTAGAAACATTTATTTTCAAAGTGTGTGTGGATCCCAGGACAATGACCTGCTGACTGATGGGGGCATGACCCTTGAGCAACATTCAATGCATTCTTCAATTCACTGTTGTTATTATTCACAGCTTACCTTCAAGGTCAGAACCTTGAATGTGAGGACGCCTAGCGCCCGGGTGGTCCAGCTCTTTTATCTGGTGGGCATGTGTGTCATCACCAGACCCACAACTTGTTTGTATTTTTTATTGAGATTGTGGAAAAAGTACTAGTTACCCAGATCACCTTCTGATTGGGGTAACAACATGTGTCCTCTCTCAAACTTTAGTATTTAGAAGTGCAGTCATGTTGCGTGTAATTTGACAATCTGTGACAACATCACTCTGAGGTGCATGCTGTCAGCAGCAGCAGAGGGCACAGCTGCAGAGCTGCCTGTGATAAATAGGAGATATAAGGCATCAAAACAAGCCTCCTGTGAGATATGTGCTATTTACCAGAGTAATGCAGCTATTGAATCAAAGACGATGACAGGGTGGTCTTAGGAGGGATCAGTGTGAAGCGTGATGCCACGACAGGAGGCCAGCAGGTGGAGCAGCCACAGTGAGACCCAAACCAGGTGCGAAGAAGCCGAGCGTGTTAACCTTTCACAAACTGTCAATACATCAGTTTGACACATGAAGGGGTGTAAGGCAGGGACAACTGCTGCACTCGGGACATTGATGAAACAGACTTTGCTCTTTGGAGCTATATATTTTTGGCTTGAATAAACATAAACAAAGATTTCTTTTCATTATTCACTTGTCCATTCATCGAATGAATATAATGTGCTCACATACACAACATGTGTCACGTTCTCAAGTCATTGTTTCATAGAGACGTTGTGGTCATTGTTTGTATTTATAGCCTCTTGTGTCAACAGCTTTCTCTGTTCTTACTATTGTGAAAGAATGTCATCACTTTTTTAAAGTTTAAAGGTAGTAGTGGAAGAATTTGGCAATAGACTACCGTGCTTCAGAGTGGGATGGATCCACAAGCTCTCAGCTCTGCAACGGAAGTTTGTCCTTCTATTAACTCACCCAAAACGCATCAGCACTGAGTCCACAGATTTTTCCTGATGAAAAACAGCAGACTATATAGTAAAGAATGTTTCTAGTAATTGTGTTCATTATTCATATAGTTTACAAATGCAGTATACAATAGAACAGTGGTGCATCTGAGGCTGTTGTATCCCAGTGAAGTGATGTCAGACTTTTGCATCATGTGTTGCCAGTTCACAAGGTGAAGACATGAAGGCGCACGGCCACAGCTCTCAGGGTACACACCCCCAATCAACAAATATTTCACATGCATGGAGCTTGTATGCGCACACACATATATGCATTACACAGCAGTAGTAAACCACCTAACTGATGTATTTAAAGTTATCACCTTTACATGCCGAGCTGAGGCTCACTGCTCTTAAGCATAACATGACATCACACTACAAATATTTTTACTATTTTCCTATTTTTAGCATTGACTAAATGTTTTTACTCACACAGAGAGATAATCTGGAGACACAGAATGGCATAAGGTTATACTCTTGAGCGCATCTAAACAAGGGCCAGACCCATGTGGAAGCATTGAGGGATTCTGATTTGCAGTTTACAATCTACCAATGTTTGCTTCTTTAATGGTTCATTCTTTATTATTACTTTTTAAATAATATGTAAGGTATTCATATTTTCTATTTGTAACTGAATATCTGTTGTAGAAGATAATGTAAATATAAAAATATACATAAACTCACTCAGCGTATATTAGCTGGTTGTTTATGATCTAAAGGCTGCTTTATGCATGATCTACTAATGATCCCTCAAATGTCTGAATGCCAGAGTGACTGAAAAGTCACAAAATACCTTTTAATGCACATATTCACTATTCAGTGATTAAAATACATTTGTAAAGCATTCTCCCCAAAACATTTTATGAAATCAGCCTGGTGGAAACACAGTCATACCAGGGTTGCCCCAAGTTTGGTCTTTTTTTTTTTTTTTTTTAAATAACGATTTTACTATTCTGATCTATTTAAGGCCTTCATCAAACCAAATTGTGAAGCACAACTGCTGTTGATTGTCATCACCAATTGTCTCCATATAAAAGGTGCCAGTAAAAATTTGGCCACATAGTTTTATGAAAAGTAAGAGGCAATTTGGGAATCTGGAAAAATGTGTGAAAATAAAACCATATAGCATAAGTCCAATCGATGAACAGAGACACCGTTATTCAAACCAATTCAGAGTGCACGCATTGTGGCAAATCTGTTAATGCCTTTAATATGGCTCCATCAAATTCAATATCTGTTTAATGATTTAAAGACCCCGAGGCTGCCCTGGAGACAATGGTTCCCATTTAAAGATTGCAGATGTATTATTTAAATAACTAAAAGGAAAGCTATCTTTGGCAGGCCAGACACTTTGGGTACCGTCACCAGCAACTTTGATTAACAACGTCAAATGAGTACGAGGTAACACCAGATTGCTTCTTCTTAAAGCTGAGCTCAGATTGTCATTGGGCGGTGATATGATGCTTTACGATTGCTGTTCAGAGGTGACACTTTGTATCACTTCTGAGGGGTCAACAAACTAATGAGGCGTGTGTAGAAACCAGAGCGCGCTTACCTCAGTACGTATACATGTGTCACAGCCACATCATTGAGTCTCCATTTCATCCAGTTAAGATGTCACTCATGCCTCCTTTCTGCACATTTGCAAATAACAAACCAGGAGAGCCTCAATGTTGTGTTTTCTTAGTATCTTTAAATGCACAATAATTGCTTATTTAACAGAAAATGGGATGGGTGCAAATGGGCATTAACCCAAAAATGTTATTGTCTGAATAACGACACGCACGGTAAAAAGGAATGAAACCTGTATCCGAAAACTTTTATGGATTTGTTTTATTGAAGTATTAACATTTACAACCTCAATTCTTCACAGGGGATTTTATAGCCATCTCAAACTCTTGTTGCTCGGTTTTCATGTTTCAGCAAATTCCTTTAAGCAATATTCAAAGAACGTAAAAACTGCAATGACTAAACAAAAGGATGAAAGAGCATATTTGTATAGCAATCATTAACCTTTAGTTTCAGAGTTGTACACTTTACTGAAACAGATGCAGATGTGAAGGCTGCAGCTTTGGCTCATGTTGCAAGTCCAGTATTTATTTATATGAATTTTGGCAAGTCCTCACATTATGATGACTATATTCTCCTAATCTATGTATGTAAATGTATTATATAACTTCATCAGTGAGTGGAAAGACAAACAATCATGGCAAAATAAAACCTGCCAGGGCGCCATTATGTGTCGACGTAACAAAACTTTTGTAACTAGATCCGTTGAGAGATAGATATTGCTGCTTTACAGCCTAATTGTATGGAGGTTTTTAGAAGCCAGTATCCAGGTAGCTATAATAAAGAAGAGAATACCACTTTTAGTTAGGATTTAGGGAAAACATGTTTCCAGACATGACGTCATAATACTCACAGTTTCAGCATCATGTGCTAATCCTGTGTCGTGATGCTCCATTTCATCATCCCTGAACTCCTTTATTATCTATAATAGACACACACAAACAATCACGTATGTCATCACGTGTTTGCAGCATTTGCACAAGTGTGTCATAGATGCAAACTCACTTGTAGGAGTTCAGTATATCGCTCAGGGTCTTTCTCCATGAGCGCTCGGATCTGACTGTTGTAGTGTTCAGTGATGCTTTCCTCAACCGCCACAGTGCAGGCCATAGCCCCCTCTTTCCCAAGTAAGGCTGTGGATGCTCCTGCAATAAGCCAATTACAATGAGCATTGTTTCTCTCTCAATTATAGACATGTGCATTACAATTAAAATTAAAATCTAATTCAATGAATAACCCCACAGGTTGTATATCGAATAGAAAAAAAAGTAGTAAACCTAAGACAAATCCTGCAAGGTTCCAAAGAGGAAGAAGTGCTGTAGGACGAACTCTGTTCTCAGCAAGTATTTCGTTAAATCTTGCAAGGTGCTTCTTTTCTTGATCCCACATTTCCTATGCAACCAGATTTGCGCGTGACAGTTATTATTCAGTGAAAAATGTGGTATGAAGGGTATATGATGTATTGGGTCTACCTGTATTAGAGGTCCAGCCTGAGACCGTCCCAAAACAGCCATTTGCCCTGCGTAGATTCGGTTGGCTCCGTATTCTCCAGCGTGGTCCACACGCAGCATCATCTCCAGCATGTTTTTCTCATCGCTGTCAAGTGAAGGTGGGATCACGCTGTAACACCGTGAGTTCACCGGCAGAGGTCGCACTACAACAGAGAATAAACAAAAACACATTAAACCAGGTTTAATCTTCCACAGTTTGTTACCAGAAGAATCCGATTGTGGCGTCTTCAATTACCCACTTCGACCAATACAACGTTAACATAAACGCGCATCACAAACACGAACTGATAACGTTACTAGCTTTAAATGGACTCTTTGTTTTTAGCATCAGCTAAGCTAATATTAACTTACTACAAATAAATGATCTACTAATTACCTTTATGTTTTAAAATCTGTCGAACCGTCAGCGATCCAAATGCATGTAGCCCCGCATGCGTAGCTTTCTGCATGGCTGTGAAACTAGATTCAATGAAGTCAAATGTGTTAAGCAACTGTCATTGAACCATCGGTAGCGCGTAAATATGATGTCACTCATGTGCGACAATTGTAAAAACATCCACATCCATAAGATCCATGTCCATACCACGCAATAAGCTCCAACATTAAAGGAACAGTGCTTTTAGAATAACATTTGTTTGAGTTATAGTCAACTATTATCGACAATGTTTAGGCTTACACACTACTCGCCAATGCAGTAAATATCTCCATCCACACAGGTATAAAGTATATTATATTTCTTGTTTTCGCAAAACATTGAGTTTAAATCATATCTTAAGGTCTATGGTTTAAACCACATACCTCAACGTATGTGCTAAAATCAAGATTTTGGCTTAGTATTGTGTGCGAGCCAATAATAATAATAACGACACATGCTCCATAGATGGCAGCATTAGACCACAGATATAACCAGGCCCCATGCCATGGATGATATTATCAACGACAGTAGGCTGAAGTAAACGTTGCCCCATGTTTAGAGGCAGATTTATGCCGCTAAAATGGAACCTTCTCCCTGAAAATGTGAGACAGGCTTCAACTCTGACAAATTCAAATCCAGATTAAAACAGTTTTGTTTAACTGTGCATACAACTAAGGGATTGTGTCTTCAATCTTTTTTATGTACTGATTATTTATGATCTTAATGCCTTGCAGGTTTTTTTGTTTTGTTAAGAACTTTTGAATTGCCATGCGTATGAACTATACTATGCCATACAATTAAACTTCTAGTCACAGTACCATTATTATAGCATCTCGCACGTTTTTCTGCTACTCTCCAATACTGATAGAAGCATTTTTGCACTTTGCTTTAAATTGTGTTAATAATAATAATGCATTGGTTTTAAATAGCGCTTTTTTGAACACTCAAAGACGCTTCACATGTCATTATTCACACACTCCATACACGGTGGTGATAAACTACTACTGTAGCCACAGCTGCCCTGGGGCACACTGACAGAAGCGAGGCAACCAGTATGCGCCACCGGCCCCTCCGACCACCACCAACACCAGACTCATTCTAGGCAATGGGGGTGAAGTGCCTTGCCTAAGGACACATCGGCTGTTTGGCACTTTACAGCCCCAGCCGCCCCACTGTGGCCTCAGGTGTTCCCAGAGGTTATGTGTCTTGCCAAGGACACAATGACAGCAGACAGTGGGAGTCGATGGTGAAGGTTGGGCTCGAACCCACGAACCTCTGGCTCCAAGGCCAATGCTCTACCAACTGAGCTACTGTCGCCCTGCTAGTGTTAGTTATAGTTATTAATTAGGTGTAAATTTGTTTCCTCTTTCCAGCTGAAGTGTGCGTGACCCTGGGACAGAGGAATCTGAGGAATGAATGGTGTTGTAGCTGCAGCCTGTGATGGTCCTGGATGCTGCGCTCTGTTGGTTTGTCTGTTTTGTGGTTAGACACTGGTTATGTGCTTCCCTATCTGTCCGTCTGAACGACTGGGTGGTTACACACGTGTGGCCTTTCTATGGTTTGGCCTTCGTGTGTTTTGCTTTTTGCCCTTTCTGACCTTATTGAGTGGATAAGATATGGCCCCTTAAATGTCAGGCTGAATAAATGTCCATTCTGTATGGATTATGTGATTAATTCAAACAGAAATATCAATTCCCAGGAGATAAATCAGAAAGATGTATACAGTAACTGTTTACACGTTTTGCCAAAATCCAGCCACAGCAAAAAAGATAACTCAATGTATACTATTTCACAGCTCCATGTGAAGAACATAGTGAGAGCATCCAATATCAAAACCAATGCCAAAGATCCTCACGGTATTCCAGCTATTCCTTTTGATTAGACATTGAATACCGTAGACTTATTAGCTTAGTAACAAATAAAAAAGACACTGTTTTATATGAGGTGACTTATTTCATATTCAGTCTGAGGAATTCTTCAATTAGGTGGTGGGGGTAGTTTGTGTTTCAAAGGTCTGGGTAAGACTAGACTATTAAAGAATGTCTGACAGGTGTACTAGACACCCTTCAAAAACAACCTTTCTCTTCTATGTGAAAGTATACAGTATTAGGTCAGCTGTCGGGATTCTGAGATGGCAAAATAAGAAAAGGAACAATGACGAGTTAATTACAGGTGCAATTCAGCGGGAAGCTTGAGAGCTTTAGTCAATACACCTCTACACATGTACAGTATACTTTAACTCTGTTTATGTGATGTTTGTGTGCATCCACGGACCTGTAGTCTGCACACCCTTGCTCCGAGGCTCTGGCCAGACGGTGCATAGCTGTGGTGGGACACGAGCTCAGTGCGTCAACAACGTCTGCTCTCACTGAAAAGAGACGTGATAGGTCTTGTCTCATTTAAAACTGGATTTAGTATTGTAGTCATTTCATTGGCTTTGTGACCGTCATCTGACTGAATGTAAGTTTTCAAAAGGATTTTTATCAGCCCGGGACTCATAATTTACTTAATTGATTCACTCAATGTTATTTTCCTTTTCTCCCATTGACTTTTTTTTTTAGCTTTTAGCCATGTTTGATCCAAACCAGACCCATCTTTAGATCCATCCATGTTAATATCAGGAACTTCTGGTACAAACATGTAACTCCGCCCTTCTGTCTTTAAGCTCGTGTCATAATATTATCACATGGACTGAGACAGATTATTGGTGAGAAGGTTCGATTCCACCTCCAGGACCTTTCTGCGTGGAGTTTTCATATTCTCCCTGTGTCTGCTTAGGTTTCCTCCGGTTACTCCGGTTTCCTCCGATGCCTAAAGTGATGTACTCAAAAGTACAACACTTTAGTCGAGGCCGAGACAAACAAAAAAAGAAATGTGTTTTTTCACATGGCTTCTTCGTAATGATGAAGCCCTGTAACACACCGAGACCGGAGCCTCAGAGCTAGCTCATTCTAGGTTGTAACACTGGAATCTAGTGGAAAAATTCAATTATTGTAGCTTCTGAACACTTAAGTGCAGAGCACAAACCGCACCGCTTATAATAGTAATGACAATTTCACCATGAAACATAAATGTTGGGCTGTTATCAAAACATATTTCAGCCTTTATCTGACTTGCAGCTGTATTGAGCACTGAAATTTCATTGACTTGCAGTTTGTTTCATTTAAAGTAGCTATATACTTTTTACATCAAGGATTTTGTAACTTAGCTTGCTACATTGTTATGTTTGGTGGCTTCTGTAGTGAAGCCGAATTTATTGTAGAGTAGGTTGTAGCTTAGCTCACTAGACAAATCAAGTAGCTTGCACATCACTGATATTTTTTTAAAATAACATTTAAATTGTATTTGCCCTCATTGATGATGTGACTATGCTCTTGCGAAGTGGATTGGTTTCGGGCCTTAAAAAAAGTCCTTGCTGATCCAATTAGACTGGTGAATTTTTCCCCACGATCTGTTTCCTTGGTGATGCAGGAGTGTCTAGACAGGGGATGACATGGGACATTATCCAGTGGCATGGACCAATTCTTTTTTGGTGTTGCATTAAATATGTTCATATTGTTTTTATGCTGCAAATTGACATTTCCGTGACACATACATTTTATTTAATCGATTTGCGTTGGAGGGCCTATGTCTCTCAGCTGGCCTGGGAACACCTCAGGATTCCCCCAGATGAGCTGGAGGAAGTGACTATGCTTCGTTTGCTGCCCCTGTGACCAGGCAACAGATGAACTGGCAGAAAGTGGATGAATCAAGCAATCAGTTACAATTGTTTGTCTTGTTGTTTTGAATTGATTTAAAATGTATTTAAAAAAAAAAATAATAATCTCCCAATTCATCGATTATCAAAAAATCATTAATTATAGCAGTGCTCAATATTGTTACTTCTTTCCATCATCAATATAATGAAAATCTAATTTAAAATACTAATAGCAAGTTGGCTGTTATTATTATTACAATTATTCAGTCCACTTAAAAGTGCTAAGTTAGCAGAAAGCGTCTAGAGGTGTTAGTGGTTTTCATTTTGGGCAGATGCATTCACTTTTACTGCAAATTTGGTTAATTTATGATCTTGTAAATTGGCTGGTGATATTTGTACTTGGGCGTTCTTTGCAATAATTAACATTTGAGCACATGGTTTCGCGCAGGAAATTAGCAGGGTGAGTTATTTCCATGAATTCTGCTAAAGTTATGAAACACTGTGAGCATTTTATAGTTTGTTGTCATTCTTAAAGAGAGGTTTTCCCATAAAACGCCTGCAGTTAAGATTTATTTTATAACCCAAGAATCTGAAATGTGTTGTGAAAAGTCTCCTAAGTCTATTATTAAATTGTTTACGCTTATCTTGTTGCTCATTCCGACCAAGTTAAGCCTCCGCCTGTTTTTTCACGGACATTGGAGAGTGGATTTAACCACGTCTGGTACGAGTTAAATGGCCCTTGTCTGTCTGGCCGTGTGCCCTACGTGATTTTTTACAAGGTGGATAAGATAATGCCTTAAAATGCTGCTTTTGCCGAAGAAGAAGAGAGCTGGCACATGTTCAAGCAATTACTGTCAAGTTTTGGAGTGATTTTCTGAATGAAGCAGTTAGATAATAGCTTGTGTTGGTAGGAGGTCAATAAGGAAAACAGGCTAGACTGCAATGGGAGCATGTAAACAAGTTTAGGAAACTACAGGAATTAGATTTGTATATCAAAGAAGAGTGTTTAGAAGAATTACCTGGTTACAGTGAGATCTGAGGAGAGCAGTATACACATGATGTCAAGCACAGAAGTGGATAAATTTAGTCCCACAATTCATTTACAGGGTGTGATAGCCAGACAAGCAGCACTCCAGCTCCAAAACCCGTCATTTAACGAGCATTTCATTTTAGCCGCAGGATGTGGCTCCCTCTCGATGACTGACTGATCCTATAAGGGTTGTCCGGAAGTCACATTTGAACTCTCTTATTTAGTAAGAGAAAGTGCAGACGAGAATACAGATTAAAATGAGAAATAATTACTCAAATGTCAAAGACAAAACAGAGTAATGTAAGTTGTTTTATTTTACGGCTTGAAACACTAGCATTAAATATCATTATCAGAAGGGAGAAATATTTCTGAATATGTGTCAGCACTATATCAGTTAGAGAAGCTTTAATACCTGCTTTTATTTTGTAATGTATTCTGTTACATGGTTCTATCAGAGTACTGTATTCTAAATACTTTTCAATACATTAACTACAGGGCCCTACCACAAATCTAAATGTCAAAAGATCACAATATCCATTTTGATAGATTGTGATTATCGGGACTTGAATTAAAATAACGAAAGACACAAAAAAAGTCCCATAGCTGGTGCTATGAGACTTGGGTGGCATCTCTGATTGCCACCCCCCTGACCCAGAAATGGATTAAAGGGTAGAAAATGGATGGATGGATGGAAGACACAAAAAAAGGTATCCAGCAGAAGGGGCTGGATACCTTTTAACTCATTGGTTTATGATAAAAATAGTCAGCAGGAAAAATGGTAAAATATTGTGTTTGTCATAACAGTTATTTGATCAGAAATCAAAATCGTGATAGATTTTTCCGGTTTGACCTCCACTTTTATGCTCATTTGCAACATTATATTGTAAAAAGTCTGTAATAGACAAAAAAACACTTACGAACATCACTAAAAGTAACGTTTTATCGGTAAAATCCGGTTGAAATATTAGAATATATTCCTTCTATTATTTTTTATTTGTTTTAGAAGTCACTATTTTGAATAATGGAAAAAAAGTTAATGTATACCAACCGGGACCATAAACGTCATGAACAATTTTACTTTTTATACTTTTATTATATACAATGGCGGCAATGGGCATCTTCAGAGTTTTTTTATTACCATTTCTAGTGGTTATCCTCTTAACCCATTGTTTTTCTGTACTTGCAAAACAAGTTATGTTTAAGTGCCGTGGCACACTTTTAGAAAACATAAAATGAAAGCTTGAACTGACGCAGTGGCACTTATTTGCGGTTCAGATGTATTTAAACAATATTTCAACCAACATAACAAGCCTGTGGTATTAAAAGTGCTCGTCATCCCTTCATATTTTGACCACACTACACTCCTGCCATTTGTTTTCCAGCCTGAAATGTAGAGGAATGTTTTTACAGTGCAAAGGGAGTGGAGGATTTGTTAATAAACGTCACTCACGACCATAATCCTTGACTCCCACTCAGTTTGTCCGAGAAGTATTTTTAGAAAGCTGAGTTTATAGAGCAAGTACAGAGAGGAATTGTTTTTGTTGATGGCTGTCTTACCACTTCACTCGGATGACTGTTGATGAGTTGGTGGCTCGTACGTCACAATGGCCAGCAGCGAGTGGGCGGCCGGCTCCATGCTCTATTAAGGGGAGAGCCAAACAACGCAGCTTATGCACAACAAGTCTTGGGGGAGCGTCCCGTTGATTTCCACTTGCTGCTATTTAAGATCTGTGAGGGTCTGTTTTGAGTTAACGAAACCACAACATCCTATTAAGCATTGTTAAGTAACTCTTCTGCGTTTGCTTGGAAGAAAGACACGTTGTTTTGAATGCAACTGCACATGCACACATCTCCAGACAGTTGGATAAATAAAGCAGGCACCTGTAATTGTTTAACTTAATTTCTGCTTTGCACTGCAACGTCACATGTTTTTAGTCAAAGTGTGCGCATAGAGTCAACTCTTCTAAAATAAGCGTGTTTAAGTTTTGACTGCAGAGGAGTCGTGCTGTGACCTGCTGGCTCATGTCCAGTCTTTCTTCTTTGTTTAGGACCTGTCTAAACCTGAGACCACTGCGGACACTCTGCACTGAGACAAGGTCAGACATTCACTCACTCACACAATTTTAATAACACTTTGGCTCAATGTTGTTTTTTGTGCATATAGTGTCTTGTCTAACTTACTGAAATCAAACCTATGCTGCAAAAAGTGCTAAAAGTGATGAAAAGTAAGTCAAAAATTGCTCAAATTTTGTTCTAAATGTATCTTAATTTGAGCACATTTTGACTGCCTTAAAACTACATTTGCCAATGGAGCAAGCCAAATCATCCTGTTTTATGAAGATACAAGAAATGTCTCCCTTGGAATGAAACCCATTCTATAATCTTGTTTTAAGATTTAAGTCAGAATGCACTCAAATTAAGAAAAAAATATCACATGATGCAAGCAATTATTACCTTATATTGTAGCATTTTTTGCAGTGTATACTTACATAATTACTGATTTGTTTTTATGGTTTTAATTTTGTCTTATCTAATGTTGTAAATACTTGGCAAAGATTGACTTGTATCTAGAAGTAGAATCTTGTCTGAAGTGT